CACTGGCGAAAATTTAAATTTGCCGACTGGAATTATTTCGGATAATTGACTTTCGGATAATCGACGCTCTACTGTGTTTTAAAGAGGCGCCAAATAAATGAATTCTGTAGAAATACAACGCCGCTTAAAGATTTCCAATCGGAGTTTTCGTTGCTTTATTTCTCGCTATTATTTCATTACAAGTTTCGTCTGTCGACTCTCTTTAAACTAAAAACAATTCCTTTTTTAAATTAATAGTATAATGTATAAATTTTAATTTATAACGATAGAAATACTTTATTGTAAGCGGTTTTGAGTAGATTTTGGTATATTTGCCGCATCTAAGATCGCTTAAAGGCCGGTTGACACTACAGGTATTTCTGCAGCGCAGCACTATTGTCTCTTCTTTACACAAATAATCTGACTGGTTGCTGGATTGATTACGTATTTCCGGTATACGCATCTCGATAGTTGCTGTATTTGTGGCGAACTTCCTCTAAACATTCTTATCCTACTCATTCATCGCTGCAAACGGACTCGGTGGTTATTCTATCTGGCACCCGAATTTGATGTCTGACAACAGCCGTTACTCTAGAGAGGCTGCGCTGGAAATTCCTATAGCTTACCCATAATAAAATAAGAGCTACGAAAGCTCGGGTTGGAAATATTTGGATGATGATACATTTGTACAAAATGCATTTATTTAGTGTTTCTTTAAAATATTAGGTTTGGTTGTATTATTATCGACGTCATAATTACCTGCAAAAGATAAATATCATTTCCACGAATGGCCCATTCAATATCTCTTAAACTTCCAAAGTATTCTTCGATCTGTAAAAAAATAGAATGTTTATGAACATTTCAAAATTTATTTTTAATTCTACGTTATTTCATAAAATAACCAAAACTTTTAAATATCGAAATAATCAAAATACCAACTTTATCATTTACAAAATGATTACGATTTAAAATCGCAAATAATAAAGAATTTATGCATAAATTTATACACAGTAAATGTATAAACAGCGACAAACCTTATTTGCCTCTTATTAATACAAAAAGTGTATATTTGGATAAATTAAACTTATAAGCGGGACTTTTGGTATTCCGGTTTTTTCTAAAGTTTCTTGAAATCATGTGAAATCACCATGGGCTGATCACTGGTACTTGATCACCAGTTCGCATCTCTCCAGTCGACTAGTCGCGAGAGTCTTCCGGCTTTATTTACTTAGGGACCAGTTTCTCGTGGAAAGTCTTCTCGGGGAGCATCCCCACGTTTTAAGTTGTCTTATCCCATCAAACCAAACCAAACACTCGAGGTTTCGTGCCGATAGATCGCGAGTATGCGAGAGAATAAAATCATCTGGCAGAGCTTTTACAGGTATGTAATGCGCCAAGTGTACACGCTCACCCTCGCGTATCCTAATTAACTAAGACGGGAAATGTCTTTCTTATTCCGTCTCAAACACTGCTTATACGCACTTAATTCTTTATGAAATTTTCAGATTGTCAATATTACATTCTATCTTATCTCTAGTCATTAATATAGAATTAAAGGCAATTATTGGATATGATTACTTTACCAAAATTCCAATGTTTCCCAGTCGAAGTATTTGTTCATCGTTTAAACATAATTTATTTTCTTCCGAATTATTGACTTCTTCTATTCCTCCGGATTCTATTTTTTAAAATACACATGAAATTTCCACCACAATGGTAATCGAAAACTAATAAAAGACAAATATCTATTTACCCTTCGAAACAATTTTAGTTTTCTTTGATCCAACATTTGAAGAATGAATACTAAGTCGATTCTCGTGATTTCGCCACAGAGTTATCGTATCAGCTTCCGATGAGCCCGATACTACAGACTGAACACAATATATATATATATATTATACGAATCAATAAAACAATTTACACTATATTAATCGTTCTCTAGCTCGATAAACTTCTGTGTGCACCGACGAGGCTTTCGTCGCGTATATCATACGTTTAGCAAAACCGTAATGAAGCGATTGCGTGTTAAAGAAATAATATATCCGATCGAATTACCCGTAAAAATCTTAACGATTAGTCAGCCTGGTAGTTAATAGGTCCTAGAACCCTGAGCAGCAGTCCTCGACTACCCGGAGAGCACTAACAAACTCATCTGACAGCTTAGAGTTAATTAATATATCACAGTCTTCAGCTCGTATAAAGCTTACAGAAATCGACTCGTTTAAACTACTTGACTATAGCAACTAAATGGCAAGCGCGATCTCGAAGAGAAAGCCACGATGCTCACGGAATTAAAACATATATTATAGCAGAAAACGTTATATTATAAGGATTTTAAAATAACGATTCGAATCGGTAATTGTAGGACAGCTATTATACCCACTTCTCCTAGTCCATAATTTGCAGAAATAGTCAAATAATTAGGATTCGAGGTGACTGGATCGCACGTAAACATAACGCCAGCAACGTCAGCCTTCACCATTTCTTGTATTATTACAGCCATAGGAGTATTTATTGCCTGGCCATTAATCCTAAAGTTGTAAAAACATTGTTTTAATTTAAAATTAATCGAAATTGCATACATTCTTATAAATACGTATAAATACTAAAAAAGATATAAAAGCGAAGAGAATGCATAAATAAATAGGAATTTAAACTAAACACTGAACGAGAAAGAGTAAGAAGGGCTATATATGGCAGCTGACTTTCACCAACTCGACAATACAACGGTAACTATATTCTTAAATGGCTCTCGTTAAACTTTAATCACAATTCAGAAAGGGCATTTATCCAGCAAAACTCAAATTGTACCTTTTATATTGAACAGCGATGTGCGAAAACTGCGATGCCCAGCATTTCATAATGGCTTTGCGAATCTGAAACATAAAATTTTAAATTATTTATAATAACAGTTATATAAATTATTTCAGTATTTAGTTGTACCAATTTTAAACTGATATATTTCCTGACAGATTTCTCTTAATGCTTTTGTCAACGACAATGAAGAGATTAAAGCAATCGTGAGAAAAATTTACAGGTGGAATTAAGCCAAGATGAGAAAGACAATTCGGAGATAAAACAACGACCGTTAACGCAGGCTGAATGCAGTTTAGTGGAATATCGATATCGGCCACTGATAGAACGTAAACAATGGCTGTTGTTCGGAGATTATTTTGCACACGTGTCAAAAAGTGTCCTAAAATCTCGCCGCTGTTTAGAGGTTGCAGGTTCGATGCAACAACGGCAACAAGAATTTTGCCAAAAACATAGAATGGAAACTACAGAAGAGAATGGATTGAATTAGAAATAATTAAATTGATAAGAGAAGGCAATAGGCGATTCGCAAACAGAAAGATCAACATCTCCCAGATTTTCCTGTGAGAAACTGGTCTATTTAGGTGCTAGACACGTAAAAAAATCCGAAAACTCCACACGGCCAGCTCTTTGGCTAGGCACAAATCCATTATCGATGTTCGATGAATTTGTCCGCGTGGTTATTGATGGCACACAGAAGAGATATATGAAGAAAGACCAAATCGTACTATATTTAAACAAGAATATTATACACATCAAGTCTTCTATAAAAGAAAAATAAAGAATGCGAAAATACAATCTTGGCAAGATTATTGTACTGCTGCCTCATCCAACCCATGGGGATACCTTACTAAATTATGTACGAATAAATTACGAAAGCAACAAATACTAATAAATAATGACCCTGAAACAATAACGCAATCAACTATTGATACAACCCTTTTAAACACCCTGAAGCAGCGAATGGATAGCTATTGTATCTCAGACTGCGCTGCAAAGGACACCCCTTGGCAGAGATCATTAAGAGAAAACATAAACAAACATATGAACACTGGTAACTCTTCTCAGTTTACTTATCAGGAAATAAATAACGCCATCGGTAGACTAAAAGAAGGAAAATCTCCAGGCGTTGATGGTATAACTGCCAAAATTGCAAAACATATTTGGGAAATGATTCCACAACAACTTGTACAATTATATAATGTATGTTTATTCGCAGGCATTTTTCCAGCCAGATGGAAAATTGCGAAAATAGTACCTGTCCCTAAACCAAATAAGCCCAGTGAAACAAGACCAATTTCTCTATTGCCAATTTTTGGTAAAGTACTTGAACGTCTATTAACAGATCGATTAACCTGGTTGGTTGAGAAAAATAACATACTTAACAACATGCAATTTGGCTTTAGACAGCAAATTTCCACCAGTGACGCACTAATTCATGTAGTACACAATATTAAAAGCCTACTTGAATATAACAAGTATGTCTTGGCTATTAGCTTAGACATATCCAAAGCATTCGACAGTGCCTGGTGGCCGTTTGTGTTACATCAAATCAGAAATACAGCCTGCCCAGCTGACATTTATAATCTATTTGTAAATTATTTAAGCACTCGTAAAGCCATTCTTGAATATGGTGG